TATATATATATATATAAAGAACAATTTTGAATACTTCTGTGAGTTATGATTGTAGTTTTTTCCCCCAAAATGTGTAATTTAAATGATGAGTTACCTGGCCAAGGTCTTTTTTCTAATATGTTGGCAACATCTCACATGAATTTATAGGTTGATATACATTATAATTGCAGAGAAACTGTACTAGTTCAGGTCAGTTACGACAAAAGTGACTATATTTAGTAGAAAGTTTATAGTAAGTGTATTCAAACTAAAATTTATTAATTTATTCTAAGTTATTGGCTCAACATCAATCTATTATTATTGGTCTTTCAAATAAAATTTTTTTTAAGAAAACTTAACCAAAAAATCAAACTCATTTGAGACATTGTATATACTTAAAAACATATTTTGTTAATCAACAAAACTTTTCACCTGAACACACACACTCTCCTGCACCAACTCTTCCTTTATAGATTATGCACACAGTGATAGGCCTCCTCAGATTGAATAACTACACATCAGACTTGGCAACAACCAGATGACTATGCTTTTACATGGGTGATATTTGAGTTCATTGTATTTTAGACTACCAGCCAGAAATTCAGCTTAAACATATGGTCTTTATACTAAAATTCAAAACAAAATAAACAAAATTGCTCATTTTAAGGAAAGACAACTTTGCCAAAGATCGGAAGTAAATGGATGGTCAAAAATACCTTTTCCCTCAAAATGTAAATGCGGCACTGAAAATGGCTACGAAGTAAGATTACTGAATTACTTTTCTAGTCATTTTAAAGAAATAAACTATCCTGTATTTACTTCTATACTGTTGCTAACACACCATGATACACTTGAAACATGAATCGTTTCTTTTCTCAGGAATCTAGTTTAGACAAAACTCAGCAGAGACAACACATCTAAACACCAAGAAGCATCAGTTGGAGTATATAGACCTTCCAAGCTCACTCACTCACTCACTGACTTTTTGAGTTGGTAATGCATCTCAGCTAGGGACACAGCAGAGATAGCTGGTTTCTCTATCTGAGCTTCTCCTCAGGGCTTCTTAGTCTTCTAATCATGGTGCCTAGATTCCAAGAATAAGTATTCTAATAGGACTGGATTCAAACTATACGATTTCTTGCTCCTTAATCTCAGAAATCTCCTAATATCACTTATCTCACATTCAACTGGTTAAGTACATCATTATGTGCAACTCAGATTCAGGAGGAATGGTACAGATTTCATAGCTCTGTGAGAAATACTTGAAAGAATTTGCAACTACTCTTTATCCAGCACATCACATGTCTAAGATACAGCTAGGAAATACTGTACCACTACTTATTTAGGGGTAGCCAAATATGCTTGAAAAAGCTTTTTAAAACCAGCTCTTATTAAGACCTCAATTTAGGGCCCATTCTGAGTCCTTATAACTTTTAATTCAGAGTTGTTTAAATGAAGAATGGGAGTGGCAATTACATAGATTCAGTGCATTTGTAAGTGGACTATGTTACATAGTGAAAGTTCTGCTGTGTGAGAGTTTGGTGTGATTTGTTGTAAGTTCAAATTTTCATTATGAACAATAAAGCAGGGCCCTCCCTGGTGGTGCAACAGGTTAAAGAGCAGCACTATGAAGCATCCACAGCCACTGTAGCATAAACTCCATTCCTGGCCAGGGAGGTGACCCACATGGTGCAGACCACTTCTTTCTCACTGCTGCTCCCCTCAGCAGTGTTATTTCAGTACATCTGCCTGTTCTGCTCCCCACTCTGTCTCTGGTGAATCCTCTCACTCTCATCCCCCGCACATTTGATCTGTACCCCAGTTCTTGTATGTATAAAATAAATAAATCTTTTTTAAAAGGAACAATAAAGCAAATAAACTAAACAACCCAAAATAGCTTTAACTCAAACACACTCTGCACTTTAAGACTAAGTTCAGTTTTCCCTTTCCTGTGGAACTATAAAGTAGGTATGTATTGACTCCTACTAATACCTTGTGTTTACAAGGGCAGCATGGTCTAAGGAATAAGAACTTGGAATCTATCATGGAGCAAACATGGTTTTGATATTTATGAACTGATGACTTTAGTTAATTACTAAAGGTTTTATTTCCTCACCTCAAAAATGGGTTTCATAGTATGAAACTGACCTCACAGGGATGCTATGAGATCATGATGTTCGGTTTATCATAATTATCATTTCATGCATGACCTCTAAAATTTTTTAATTATTGCTAACATTCTCAAGTATTTGTGGTCACAATGAGAACACAAGTCCTTATTTTATATGTTTTTTGATATCTTAAGCCACTAGAATAATATTTATTTCTTTTTTTTTAAGCAAAGTTTTATTGAAGTAACTATAATTTCTAAACTTCAGGTGTACACCATTATAATCTTACATCTGTATGTAAAACATCATGATCACTGTTTCATTGTATTTCACACATGAGTGAATAATATGTGTTCTTGTGCTGAATAACATGGTTTATTGGTAGGCAATGTTAGTCCTTTCCTTAATTCATTTTTATATTTTTTTCTGTTTATTCTTGATTGCTAATTTTTAAGTTACTTGCCTGGTTTGGGAAAAAAAATGTTTGACTTACTGGATTCACATGAAGTTTATGCATTAATTTAGACAGAATCAACATATTTTTCATCTTAAATTTTCCTATCCATACATACTGTATGCCTTTCCACTTATTCTAGTTTTTTAATGTCCTCAGCAAATCTTAGAACCCTTTGCAAACTGATTTTCACTTCACTTTTCACATCTATCTTAGGTTCTTTGTGTTTCTGATGTCAGTGTAAGTGGGGTTTTTCTTCAATTGCATTTTCAATTGAATTTTACTCATTATTCCTATGACACCTTTTACTTTTTTATTTTTTTAAGATTTATTTACTTTTTTTATAGACAAAAAAACTAAAGTTTTCTTCAGTTTCTGCTTTTTTATTTTCCTTCAGTGAAAAGGGAGTGAATCATGCCAATATTTAACCTTGACATAATCCTCTTGTTTTCTCCTTTGTCAGGTAAAATCTGTTCATAGTCTTTATTTATCTATTTTTAACTCTGAATACTAACTATACTTCCAAGTAGAACATTAGAGTAATGAACATGTTTAATTGAATCTATCACCCATGAAAATATTAAGGAGAATATTGTGCTATAGAATACTAATAAACAGGAGACATTCACTACAAAGATGAAAAAAAATTCAGGGTTTGGGGATGTTCTGTATAAATATATAGCTTCACACATGGATAAACAATGCATTATATCATGTTTATGTTTCTTAATAACATAATATAGTCTTTCATGATGATTAGCTGATCAGGTAAGAGATTATTCATAAATAGACTTCTACTTTTGTACTAGAGACAAAAAACACACTCCACCTGAGAAAACTACATCTGATCATGTCAGTTCTCTTCTCAAACCTTTACCACTTATTAATATGTAGCTACAATTGACACAATTTGGAGACTACAGATTTTTCGTTCACAATCCAGGCTACAGATCCCCATCCTGACACCTTTGCTTCCAACTGGACACCACTGAGTGGTAAGCTGGCTTCTAGCCAGTTCCACCTGTCCTATAATCTTAGAACAATCTGACCTTTCCTCTGGGCAGATGCTAGGTTCTCTGGGGATGGATGAGTGAAGTAGGACTGCACAGACTTCCTGCCCAGCTTCTCATTTCCCAACAGTGGAGCTACCTGTTTGTCTATGCTAATTTGCTTCTTAAGCAGGTGAGCTCATCCTTGCTGCTCAGAGCAGTATGCTAGGGCATCATTTGGGAAATGGGAAATTGCCTTTTTATGAGAACCTGGACAAGCCAGGCTCCCTTTTGAATAAGCTGACTTTTTTTGAGTCCTTTCACCTCCTATATTCACATCAAACAGTCTATCACATCAGGAGCCAAAAGGAAAAAGTATCAAAAGGAAAAACAATTAAAGTCTGTTTAGTTGCTGTATGCAGAGTATAACAATAAGCCACCCTTCTGAAGTGTCTTGGAAAGGAATTCCTGTGATGTCAAGTTTCAAAGAAAGACTCTGGCCTCAAATCAAGCCATAGACTATGACAATGTTTCACAAAATACCAAAAAGAATTCACCTTTCAACAGCTAGGTGTTTCCTGTCTATTAGGGAAAATGCCATTCACACTCATAATCTCAGCACATTTACTTTCACTTCCTCTTTTCCTTCTGAAGCATGATATTGTGATTTCTCACTGGACTGAAATTAAGCTGGAATATGAAAATCTTCACAACTTTAACTCCCAAAATGTTTGCCAAAAAAATCCCTAAATCTCTAGTAGGATGCCTGTATTTTAAGTTTAAGGCTCTTGGGTCTATATGTGTTCTTTTCTGTATAAAGAATAAATTCCCTCGTTAACCCACAACTAAACTTTTTGTCAGTCAAGCATTTGAAATCAGCTGAAGAGTTAAATTACATAGAACACCTCATAGGAGTTTCAGTTAGGACAGCTTCAGACATCATTGCAAAGAAACACTGAAATGTTTCAAGTCACTAAGGAGGAGAAATCACCTCTTACCTGGGCTTCTTTCACTATCCCATTCTTTGTGCAGTTTCCAGTTTTCGAGCTGTCACTTTGTTTCTTGTGATTATGAAGACTCCCATTGCAAACATCACCACCTCCAGGATTAGCCATTTGTGTGAAATGATGGAACCAGCAAGTTTTCTTCCAGAAGATGTTGGCAAGCTTTAGTTTTGAAGTTGGCAAGGGGGTGGGATAAAGCACTTTGGGCTGAGCCCTCGAAGGAATCCTCCCAATCAGGCTTTTCCAGAAGAAGAGCCACAGCCTATCTTTTGGGCAGATCTTTGAAACTAAAAACAAACTGTTACCTTTACACTGATTACCCTGACATTCCTCAACTCAGATTGTGGGTTCCATGACAACAAATCTGCTTCTGAATCTATAAAGGAGATTGCTCACGCTGGCTTCTTGCTTCAGCGAGATGTGGACTGAGGAAACTAGGAGACTGCAAAACCTTGTGGCAAACTGTGAGGAGGCGGGCCAGGAGGTGGAGAATCTTTTAAAGGCACACACACACACATATACAGCACACTCAGGTCTTCTAAGTACAGGTCTTCTACATCTCTTCCCCACCCTTTCTTCCAGCATCTATTTACATTTTTTGGCTGCAAGCCAAGTTCAAAGTCAACATTTCTTATTACATTCAGAAGTTTGGCCAGGAGTTAGTTGAGGATGGGTGGGATGGTGGGTGGGGGAGAAGGATGGGAAGTTACTGTTTAATTGTTACACAGTTTCAGTTGAGGAAGCTGGGAAGTTCTAAAACTGGATGGTGAGGGTACTGAAATGCCACCTAAAGCCTTTAAAAGTTTTAGTGATGCATATGTTATCATAATACAAAAGTGGGGAAAAAATTTAGAACTCACATGATGCTTAAAAAAGTGCAATAATGAGAAGTACTAATTCATCTAGAATTCCAGTAAGACAGAAGTTTGGGCACAGAATATTTGGTTTCTTATTTTAGCTGCATTACCTTTATTATGAGATCTTTCAGAAGCTATTTGCCCTCTTTATGCCTCAGTTTCTTCTGCTATAAATGAGACATATCATTTCTGGTATATTCCGATATTAAGAATCTTTTAAAATTCAATTGGCAAGTCTATGAATTGTTGAATTGGTTCAAATAACTTTGGTCAGAAAGTCATATCAAGTAGTATTAAGAATCTTCTCTTAGAGGTTTATTGAAAAACTAAGAAGTAAGGATCCATTCAATTAATACTCTGGAAAACCATTAAAAAAAAAAAAACCCTCACGCATGGAGGTCTAATGTGTGATGGGGTAGTGGGAAAATAAAACTGATTTGTGTTTGCTACTGACACAGGTGTTGGAAGCAGATGGTGACTGCAGTGTCCCAGTTCTTAACATGTCTGGATTACTCATTAACTCTTATTCTTTCAGCACACCAGTCACCAGAGGTCTATTTTCTCTATCACCATCAAAAGACTTTGTGGTAATGTTTGGGTGGAGAATGTCAATCATTGATAGGCTCTTGTGTGCTTGCATACCTGCTCTTGTAGTTATCCTGAATGTAAACATTCTGAACATGGAAACTTAGAAAAGAACTCCGTTTACTGAGGAATTGGACACACACACACACACACAAGAACAAGAAGACAGAAATGGCTCCTGATTGCATGGTCAATTCCTGGTTTTCAGCTTTCATGGGCAGGATGTGTTTCCCCTCCAAAAATATGTGGTGCAAGGAGGTGAAGACAATGCTTTTCCTAACCATGATTTGCATTTAAGGGTTGACTTTTTCCATCTCAAGGAGAGCTAAAGAAATAAAATGAGGACTTATGCCAAATAGTAAGAGGGAGTTAGCACCATGTCTGCTTATACCTTTGTTTCTCAAGCTCAAGATTGTATCTCTTATGAGGTCATCAGTGCAGAAGTAACTTCACAGCAGTCTTTCTCAAATTCCATGGGATTTGCACTGGGTGTTGGGAGCTACACAAAGGAGAAGGTAGATGTAAAAAACCGCAGACTGGCCCTCCCTGGTGGCGCAGTGGGTTAAAGCACAGCAATGAGAAGCTAAAGCCACTTTTGCATGAGTTCAATTCCCGCCTGCCCCAGAGGTGACCACATGGGGTGGCAGACCTCTCCTGACCCCCCCACTGCTCCCCTCAGCAGTGTACTTCGTCGATCTGCCTGTTCTACTCCCCACTCTGTCTCTGGTGAAGCCGCTCATGGCCCCTACACCTCCAGCCTGTACCCTAGTTCTGTATGAACAAATAAATAAATCTTTAAAAAAAAACCAAAAAACAAAAAACCGCAAACTGTTGTATGACCTCTTCAGCTTACATAGAAAGACAAGTTAAAGACATAGTTTTGAATGCGTTCTATTAATGTATATAAAATTACTTTTTGAAAAATTATGTTTGAATAAAGATTTTGAGATAAAACTGAACTCTGAACATTAGAGTCATTGCTTTCTTCTTTTCTTCTTTCTTCTCTTTCCTCTTTCAAATTTTCCCTTTTCTCTTTCTTTATATCCTTCCACCTTCTCTTCTTTTTCTTCTTGTATATTTCTTTTTTACCAGGGGGACACAAAAGCCATACATATATATATAAAACCTCCAAATACATTGAAATTTAATTCATTCTTATATTTTTCCTAATCTCAGTGGTCAAGATTAGACACATTGATCTCCAGGCAAAATCTACTACATATTCTCAATGAAACTTCTCTCTCTCTCTCTCCATATTGGATAATGAATTGTCATGTGCACAAATTATGTTAACACACCAACCTTCCACACCAGGTACTGTTGGCATATAAAATCAGTGGCGGGACATTGTTTCACAGTATCTCCTGTGAAAATATGTGTGGAGGTCTGTTTGAATGAGTGGGAGCTTTGAGTTTAAAGATATAGAGAGATAGTGTCTGAATGTTTGTGACTTTGCCAAAATCCACACATTGGAATCTTCTCCCTACTCCCTTCCCCCTGCCCCAAAAGTGGTGACATTAAGAAGTGGGGCCCTTAGCAGGTGAGAAGTAACTGCATAAATGATCATCCAGAGTTTCCTTGCACTTTTAGCCATATAAAGTTACAATAAAAAGATAGCTCTCTGGAAAGTAGACTAACCAGACACCAAATACTCCAGAACTTTGATATCAACTTCCAGTCTCTAGAACTCTGAGAAATGAATGGTAATTATGAACTACCCAGTTTGGGTATTTTCTTAATGCAGCCCAAATTATTTTGAGCATGTGTTTTTCTCTGTTAGTTAACCTGAAAACACACTAAATGTTGAATATAACCAGATATCTTTGAATAATAAAATTAAAATAATTTCAAATCAACTAGTAAACTCATAAAATAATTAACTACTATGTGTTAGGTTATTTATTAAACCATTTGATACAAAAATTAAAAGACATACATGTCTCCACCCTCACAGAACTAAAAGCAACTTTATATCTTCTATTCAAGATAGCTCATTATAAAAGGTAAAAAGAAAGTTATTAGTATGTTAAAGGCAAAGATTAAAAGTAGCTAACAATAAACTGATTGTGTCCACTGGTAGGACTTTTTTCCCCTAGATGTCAGCTTCTAGCAGTGGGTAAGAAAGGGTTGCTCATCATTGATAATGTATTCTGAAAAACCTCTGGGAACCACTGTAGATGGGAAGTTGCCAGAAAACTGAAGAAAATGAACAAAAGATTTGGTCAGTGTCTAGGTATCTGTCTATCACCGTGACTATATATTTACTTATGTAATAGAGAGTAATATACACAAAAACTATAGGTCCAGCCAGTCACATGAAACTTCCAAAGCCACAAAAATATATGGCAGACGTAGGTCATGAATTCTATAATTTATGGGTCCAGAGTAAGTCCCTGTGCCTTTATACCATGATAGCTCTTCTTTTGTTGTTTTGAGAACCAAGAATAAAGATAACAAAATCTGTAATTTGGAAAATATTACTGAATTGGCCAAATAAGTTTATTGTATTGAAATACTGTGATGCAATCATCTTTAGGTTCTTAAGATCATGTACAACTTCAGTTTTCATTGTCAAGTTTCTGTGAGTATAAACAACTGAACTGAATAGATATCAAATTTAGATCATAATCTGGATTAAAAAATAAATCCTTGAGGTAAGCTTATTTTAATTATATTTGCTGTTTTAGTTGAAAAGTAGGATTACTGGAGAGTTCTGTCAGACTTGATAAAATTTTACTTTGTTATCCCTTTAATGATTGCAATAAGATGAATAATATAGTAATATATGTGAAAATCCATTCATTCCATATTGAAGCAGTTTTCTAGTAATAAACCCTTGAGATGTTCAATTTCAAGATCTCTTTTAAAAAAAAAGAAACTAATTTACTTAAGCGAAAGCTTGAAACATTAATAGGTAAATATCAGGAGACAAGATGGAGAAAACATATTTCAGGCAGGAATGTCATGAAAGCATTGTGTGATGCACTCATGAGAGAATACAGCAGAAAAGAAATGTCAGAGTAAAGAGAGTGTGATCAGCTTTCTCCAAGGGAGGCAGTAAATCCAGAATCCACTTCAAATGGTAGTGGGATGTATCATACTTGAAGAAGGTAATACAGGTAGTTAGAAAAACTTGCAGCCTTTATTCTACCCTGGCCCCTAGTGGATATAAGGAAATCCAGACATTTTGGTGAGCTGCAAGTAGGAATGGACTGGGCTGTGAGGATTTGCAGGACTAGCAGGAAATCATGGAAGCTCTCTGTGAGTACACAGAGTGCACATTCTCATTACTCCTTTGTTCCCCAAAGAAGGCACTGTTTATATTTGTCACCATATATTAGCTCAGCCTCTACTTTTAAACAGAATTATATTATATATATTCTTTGTATATTGCTTCTTTCACCTAATCATTGTATTTGAGAGATATTTCCATGTTGTAATACATAGTTTGTTCATACTGGGTGATTGCATTGTGAAGTACTGCATTAGGAACATACCACAGTTTATTTATCCATTCTATTACAGATACTTAAGTTGTTTCTAGATAGCAAAATGATTGCTGCTATGAATTTTGTAGTACAGCTTCTGATAATCATAGATAGAGACATTAATGCTGGATATGCACCTAGTAGCAGAATCACTGGGATGTAAAGTGTATGTGTATGTAACTAGGAGAGATTCTGACACACAATTGTCTGAGTATTTTACCATGCCACAGCAAGGCTCCTTGCTACATCTTAGGGGGACTGTCAGTTCAGGTAGTCTCGTAGTGTGGTGAATTGCTTTCACAGAACATCCAAGACTAGATGCATTGCCCTGTGGAGAAGGCATAGAAACCAACTGAATGGAGATATAGTCCCTTGTTTTCTACTCCCTCCTTTTGCCTTTCATATGGAGAACCCCAGCATGGAGAAAGAGAGAGACAAAGGGAAAACCTATGATTATACATGATACCAGATATAAAA